ACCCATGTTCATAGCAGCACAGTTTGTAATAGCTAAAATTTGGAAGCATCCCAATTGCCCATCAACTGGAGACTGGATAAACAAAATGTTTTTTATATAATGGAGTACTACTCAGCCATAAAAATGAGAAATTAGAGATATTTATAGCTAAGTGGATGCACATTGAGGTGATATCTTAAGTGAAATAAATAGAACACACGTGTGAATACTGAATAGTTTCTCTAGTATGAGGAACTGAAAGTGTAAATAAAGACTAAAAGTTATAATAGATAATGTGAACAGGAAGAAAAGAGGCAAAGGGGAAGGGGAAGTCGAAGGGGTAGGGGAAAGGAAAGTAGGGAATGGAATTAATATGAGAAAATGAAAAAATGGAGACAAAATCCTTGTAAATAGGGAAGGATGGAGGGGTTGAAGGGAAGGCAGGGTAATGAGGAAAACATAAGAACCAAGAGCAATTATGTAAAGGTGCAAATTTCCAATGATGAATGTCATTATATTGTGTATCTAAAATATACCAATAAAATTAATTTTAAAAAAGAAAAGAAAAATCGGATATGGAAATGCTGTGCCTGTAATACTGCTTGGCAAGTTAGCTGGAGCTAGTTGAGGCTGCCCTTCAATAGGGTATCCACGGGCTCCATTCCCAAAGGACTGGGTCTCACTGTAGCCAAGAAAGGGGCTATTTAAGAAAGTTACCTTTTCTTAAAAAATTAAGGGGAATGTTTCTGATACTTGTCTCTCTCTCTCTTTTTTTTTTTTTCTGTACCTGGGATCAAACTCAGGTCCTTGAGCTTGTGAGGCAGGCGATGGAACCACTGAGCTAGATTCCTGGCCCATGATATTTGTGTCTCTTAATGAAAGATAGATCATGAAAGCCATGAAAGGAACAAAATTATTTTAAACATTCAGTTGTTTTTATTTGTTTAACATGTAATCAGTATGTTTATGTAAAATTCAAAAACTCAGAATACCACTGGGAAATAAATGTAATTGTGATTACAAAACAGAAGGTGTGTGTGTGTGAATTGAATAGCAACATTTCAGCAGTTTTTTCATGTAACTACAATACGTGGTATGAGCTACTGCAAAAGGGTATTACATTCTCCTGCTTCCTTGTTTGTATTGGGATCTTGCTTGGCCCCTGATGTTTGAGTTTGCCTCTCTGGAAAGAGTCTGCTGGTCGGTGGGTGCATTGTGCATCCAGGAGTTGTGCTTAGGTCTGAGGGGCAGCGGCATGGTGACTGGCCACACGTATTTGGCAAGTTGATGAAGTTCCTTTTTCATGGAATGACAAAATAAAAGTGTTTAAAAAGTCCTAACTTTCATATCAACTTTTTACAAATTGAGTTTTTAGTTTTTTAAAATTAGTGTTTTCCTGCTACTTTTTGTAAGTTCTTGATAAGTTAAGGAAATTCTCATCTGTTTGTGTGAATCAGAACAAAGCCAGAATTGTTTCGAGCCAAGCTTCACTTGCCCAAGGGAATTCTCTTGGGAGGCAAGCCCTCCATTGAGTTCTGTGTCCTAATTGACATCTTTAATGTTAAGAAGAGGATTTGCTCTCTGACCGCGCGCACGCAGCTCAGCTGATTGTGAAAGCCAGGCATCTGGCCTTAAGTGGCCTTGCAGAATGACTTCTGTGCAGTACTTGTCAGCATCTGTAACTTCCCCCTCTTGGCTATTCATTGGTTACCATAGCCCAAGTTCCTCGAAAGCTTTGCTTCCTGGCCTTCCCCATTCTGTGTTTTGGTTGTGATATTCTGTTTTATCTTCTTTTTTTTTTTTTTTTTTTGGAACCAGGGATAGAACTTGGGACCATGTGCTTCCAAGGCAGGAGGCTGAGCTACTGAACTAAATCCCTGGCACCTGTTTTATCTTCTGAGTGAACCAGGCCAGCAGAGTACTGCATTCATAGGCCACTTTTATGTGCATACATCCCCTCAAACACACAGCAGTCTTCATTATACAATTTTTTGAGAACATAGGAAATTTCCCTCAAGACAGTATTGGAAATAGGTGCGATTCTCCTGGTTTATTCTGTGGACAGCGTGGGCCATGAACTCAGTGCTTTTCACTTAGTTTTAGCTGTGGAAAATCTTGGAGACAGAGATGTAACCCTTTGGCAAGCACACAGGATCACAGGGCATTCACTTGGCATTCTGCTTTCCCAACCTACAGTTTATTATTTTCTGTATACTTTCCTGCTTGGCCCCCAAGGTCCTTTTAAAAAAATTTCTTGTCCATATAATTTTGTAAAACTCCTTCAGCCTCACTTTAAAATGAAGCAAAATATTAAAATGTTGATGGCTTAGCATTTGTTGCAAAATCTTACTGGTTTGTATTTAAATTTTATTTTAAATCTGGCTTCTTTATGTAATTAGTTCTGTCAATTCTCTGTGATTACTGCAGCAGGAATGGATTTGAGGAGCACTTGACTGCCACATATTCACCTCATAGTCACCCTGGCTCATTTAGCAAATAATGTGCTCAGAGCTAAGTGGAAGCAGAGATTGCTTTAGACCCTCTTCCATCTCCAGTATTGTTTTATGGTTTACTAAGTTATAGTTTCAAGTTCCTTATTTCTTAATTTTGGTGTTTTTTTTTTGAGAGACGGGGTCTCATTTGTAGTTCAGGCTGGCCTTGAACTCACTATGTAGCTCAGGGTGGCCTTGAACTTGCTGCAATCCTCCTGGCTCAGCCTCCCAAGTGCTGGTATTACAGGTGTGTGCCACCATGCCCAGCCCATGTTCCTCATTTATGTAGGTAGGCAATTCTCTATCAGTGTAGGACAGGTTGGCCTAGAAGACCTGGGAAATCCACTGGCATTGAGCCTGGGTCTTCACAAAAAAATTTGCTCAGGAGCTGTTTGTGACTTAAGTTTAGTTGTGGCTTCTGTCTTGGTTCTGTTTGTTTAAACAGTTGAATTATATTCTTTTCCAAGGGCTCTCCATCTCCATGGACTAGGTCTCAGGAATGCAGTGTGCTAGTGTCACCAGTGGCTTGACTTTAGTGATGTTTTCTGCTTTTCTTTTTCAGAGTATGATCGGTTGGGCTTCCTCCTGAAACTGGACTCTAAACTGTGAGTAGAATGAGAAAAATGCCTTGGTTGTGTGGTAGAGAGTCGTGAAATTTGGGAGTCTTAACTTTGAAGGGGAGCTTCTCTTACCCATGCGGTTGTGGGGGATCCCCTGGGGGCTCTGTCCATCAGGTTGTCAGCAGAATCTTTGAGCATGTTGCAGTCCGTAGGGCCTTGGGAAGGATAGAGTAGGGAGTGCAAACATGAGCTCCTTGATTTGGCTGGCACAGGCAGCTCTTTTTTTTGGTACTGGGGATCGACCTCCGAACCTCGTGCTTGCGCAGCAGGCGTTGGAAACCACTGAGCTAAACCCCCGGCCTTCAGGCAGCTCTTTATAGAATGCCACTGCCAGGGGTTTGAGGGACAAGGAAGCCCTCTGGAAAGGCTTATCCTACCGAGTAGAGGGCAAAGAGTTACTGATGGAGATGCTTTTCCACCTGGCCTGCAAAGTCTTCTGTACTCAGTCCTATGTCTTCTTCTCCAGCTTCAGATCCTGTCACTGCTGCCACAGGTAAACTCTTCTTTTCCCTCGACCCTTGTAAATGCTTATTATTTGTGCCTCAAACTCCCTTGTTTTGCTAGTCCACTAGGAAAACTCAAAGATCATTTCCTCCCTACACAAAACTCTGTCTTTCTCTAGGCCCCCTTTAAATTTTCTGTCTCTGTTACCAGTTATCTTGCTGTACTATAATTAACTGTGTAGTGATTATTACTTTATTAAGGGCCTAGACTCAGAGCCAGGCAAAGTTTGGTTCAAGTTCCAGGTTGCCATTTATTCTCTTTGTGATTTTGGGCAAGATGTTAAACCACTTTGAGCCTCAGTTTCATCTGTAAGATGAAGATAACAATATATACGTACTTTATAGGGTTTTCTAAAAGATTTAATTGAATTGATGAATTCATAAGGGACTTTCAAGTACAGGATATCTGATCCAGAATTTTTCCCTGTTCTGGCCCTCATGGTCTTCCTAGTGCCTAGATAGTACAGACATGTTTGTTAGGTGCTCAGTAAGCACTGGATGGATGAATGGATGGTTGATGGATGGATAACTGCACTTCCCTATTTGACCAGCATGCTTGAATGTTTTTTCCCTATATGAGACCACTCACATTTAAATGCTTGTAAAACTCTCATACCACATCCCATGACTCTTTTCTTTTTTTGAGACAGGGTCTCACTATATAATTCAGGCCAGCCTTGAACTCACTATGTAGCCCAAGGTGCCTTTAAATTTGTGGCAATCCTTCTGCATTAGCCTCCCAAGTGCTGGAATAACAGACATGTACCGCCACACCCAGCCCGTGACTCCTTTCTTGTTGGTCAGCTTTGTGTATCTGTATCCCTGTCCTGACCAAGACAGACATCATGAAAAAATCACAGTGTGTCTCCTTTCCTCTCCTGCCTAGGCTTTATCCACAGCTGCGTCAGGTGGTGATAGTCACACGTACACAAAAGACCTTGAACTAGGGGCTCTTTGACTTTCTCACTGAATTGTCTATCTGGCCTCTTTTCCTAGAACCTAGTTTCTTGGCTGTGGTACCTTTTACTATGAGTTCAGGCACTGTAACTCTCTCAGCTCTGGTATATCATCGATACAACAATGAGGAAAGAATGGTCTGCTCTTTTTACCAGCTAGTAGAGAGATGTCAGCCAGATTTTAACATCTGGGGAATGGGCCTTGATTGTGCCAGAAAGCCACAGGCTTTACTCTTAGAAAATCCTTAATTTGGTGCTCTGGGAAAAAAGAAAACAAAAAAGTATAAGCCATAAGTAAGTGAAATGCCACCAGAACAGAAGAGATACAGTAATTACCAAGTGGAATCACATTGATAACAAAGGGTATGTTATTGAGGACATGGTAACTACAGTGTTTAAGCTGTCTTTAGCAGCAGCAGAGGAGGAGGAGGAGGAGGGTGCTTCTGCCCTGCTGTCCTGACAGTTGAGCATTACAGATTGGAATTATCGGTTGTGAAGCTTGCTGTTGTGTACCAGGCCAGTTCCATGAAATATCTGAGTCAACTTGGTCTTTGGAATTGGCTTGTCCCCATTAATTTAACTCATGATCTAAGATATAAACTAGAGCTTTCCTGCCTCTTGCTACAGAGGTTTTTCCATATCGGGGTTTTGTAGAGAAGAAAACACAGATATGTAGAAATGTTTCTACCTTCTTCCAGGGTACAGGATTCTGCTTTTTTTGTTTTTTGCTTTTTGATGGGGTGGGGAGGATTCATTAACAAAGTTTAGGTCTCTGGATTCGAATTCTGACTCTGCTACCTAGTATTACATGACCTTAGATAATTCATTTTAGCTTTCTGAATCTCAGTTTTTCTTTATGAAAAATGGAGACAATTAGCATTCACTTCCTGTAGTTTTAAGAAGAATAAAAAAGGATTATATACATATAAATAAGAATACAAATGCAAGGATTTCTTTTATTTTGTTTTTGGTATGGGGGATTGAACTTGGGACCTTGTGCTTGTGAGGCAGGCAGTGGAACCACTGAGCTAAATCCCCGGCCCTGCAAGGATTTCTTTCTATTTTATTTTTGGTACCAGGGATCGAACTCGGGTCCTTGCGCTTATGCAACAGGCAGTAAAACCACTGAGCTAAATCCCTGGCCAAGGATTTCTTTTTATTTATCTTGATTGAGGTTTATTTAACTTCTTGAATATAAGAATATTATGAATCATAATAGATTAGAATCATATGTTCTGGGAAATTTTCAGCTATCCTGTTTTTTGTTTTGTTTTTTTTTTTGTACTCAGGACCTCACACTTGCCAGGCAGGCACTGTGCTGCTGATCAGCTATCCTCTCTTAAAATATTGCCTCTGCTTCACTCTCTACTCCTTTATTCTCTCTACTCCTCTTCAAAGACTCTTGATTAAATTTTAGACCTTCTTGATCTAGCCTCCAGTTCTATTAATTCATCTTCCATATTTGACACCTTTTTTTACCCTTTCCATACTAAACTGTAATCCGAAAGGACTGTGTCAGGATAAACTAGAATTAGGTCTGTAGCCCCAGGCCAAGACTACAGAAATGATTTCCGTAGCTCTGAGTGAACTAGAATAGATAGTTAATAAAATAAAAGCAGTTGATATTCATTGCCAAGGTTCTCATCATTTAGGTAATCTAGAGGATCTCAAGCTACTGAGATCAGTGTGAGCTATTTTGGATATCACTGTGCCACCAAGCACCTGGCGGAGACAAATCCAAACCCTGTCTAGAGAAAGACACGAACTCCTCACTAACTTTTTAAGGAAATGAGCAGCTCACAGTAAAAAATAGCTAAATATACAAGGAAACAAGCTCTCATTAATGAGAACCATGAAAAGTAACAGACAACAGAGGAGAACTCACAAAGATTTCTGAAATTGGAATTACCAGTGTCTTAGTCACTTTCTCTCATTAGCAGGACAAAATACAGTATCCAATGCCCACAACTTAAAGGAGGAGAGGTTTATTTTGGCTCATGTTTTCAGTCTCTGGTTTGCTGGCTCTAAGGCAGAAAGGGCTTGGGCAGAGGACAGCTGCTCTCAGAATGGCAGCCAGGAAGCAGAGAGGGAAGAGAGGAGCCAGACCCCAAGGTCTTCCCTTTCAGGTAATACTCACAATGTCGGCCCCTTCCAGCCAGGCCCTACCTCCTAACAGCATTCAGCTATGTGTTTACCAGTGGTTTGATCCACTGATGAATATAGCTCCCCTTGATCCATTTATCTTCTAAAAGCCCCCACCTCCAAAGACATCAAACTTTTAGAAGACTTTCTAGATCTAAACCATAATGACCAGACACAGTTTATAAAGCAGTTATGTATACTATATTTAAAGAAATAAAGGAAAAGATTGAACATGTGCATAGAATAGGGAACTATGAAAAGTAAAATATTAGATTTAAAAACATTGAACTTCTAGAATTGAAAAATACAATGACCAAAAATAACGACTAATAGGAACATTAAGCAGCAGAGTAAGCACAACCGAAGGCAGACTTAGTGAATTGATGATAAGTCAGAAGAAATTCTAACAGGGGTCAGAAAACTTTTTTTGTAAAGGGCCAGATAGTAAACATGTCACTGTTTTTAATAGTATGTTGAACTTGAAAAGTTTGCATTTCTATTTAAATTTAGGCAATTATTTTTGCAAAATACTATTGCATGATAAAGCTCCCATCAATAACCTCATACTTAAGCAGAGACCTGAAATCACAATAGACAGTTTTATTGCAGCTTTTATTCAAGATTTTTTTAATATCATTTATGACACAGGAAACCCCTGATGTCTTCTTATCAAGCTCCAAAAATAAGAAACCTAACAGGTCACTGCTCATACTCTCCACTGCCCCAGATATTCTATATACAGGCCCCCATATTCAGGTTGGTTTGTTTCAATAAGACACTGGTCTAAACATTCACAATTTTACAGAGATTAGTTTCAGTTGCAAGGTCAGGTAGGCAGCGCAGTCCCGTTATCCAAACAGTTGAAGGGCAAGCCTCAGGGGTTGGAGACTTTATTGTCTCAGTCACAGTTGTTCAACTCTGTTCAACTCTGCAGTTGTGGATCCATAGAAAATGCATAGATCAGGGTCTGGGGATTTAGCTCAGTGGTTCCACCGCCTGCCTCACAGGCACAAGGTCCTGAGTTCGATCCCCAGTGTCAAAAAAAAAAAAAAAAAGAAAAGAAAATACATAGATCAGTAAATATGGATGCATTCCAATACCACTTATTTTATGGATGGAGATTTTAATTTCATGTAAGTTTGTGCCATAAAATATGCTTCTTTTGATTTTTTTCCCCACACCCAAAGACTTTAACTCATGGGTTTGGGATGGGGTTCCTACAAAAAACAGATGGTAGGTTGGCTTTGGCCCACAAAGTGTAATTGGCTGACCACTAAATTTGGGGGGTGCAGGTATTGAACCCAGGACCTTCACACTGGGATACATCTCCAGCCTTTTTTTTTTTGGTACTAGGGATCGAACTCGGGTCCTTGCGCTTGCGAGG